TTATTCGGTGGGAGGAGAGGGGGTGGGATTTTAAATGTCTTTTTTTTTTTTAAACTCCTACAAAACTAAATCATTTCCTCAAAACTCTTCCAAGCCCCTAACGGTTTGGGATACATTCATAGGGGGATTGCTGGTTAAAAATCAACGCGCAGGAATCTTACTTAAAGAACTATGCTAATGTAAACCCTGAATTCATTCAACACCTTCACATCTGGACTGAGAAGTATATACAGTTTATCAAGTGCTTGACTGACTCATTTCTCTCTGCACAGCATGACCATCGGCCAAAGCCTCATCGCAGTCTTAGCGTAAACACATCAGCGGTTACTTTTGCTAGTTCAGCTTTTGTAAACGGCCACATGACCAAGGATTCACGCCGCACAAACGAGGCGCAAAAGCCACCTGAACCTCGTCCCTTCCTGGCTGCTCACCCAGGATGGGGGCCAGGGAGGAGATCCCCAGGCCTCAGGAATGGGAACCTGCCACCTCTCCACAGCGGAGTCAGCCAGGAAAGCCCAACGGGTGGAAGTAACTCATGAAATCTGTTTTCCAAGTTAGATCTCTTTCTAGTGAGTCAAGTTCTTGAGAATTAAGGGCCGGCTGTTCAGCTTTCTGGTGCTGACCAGACCATGTTAAAACCTCAGATGCTTGTAAGCCCGTAAATGCCGGGAACGTGGCCCCGCAAATTAGAAAAGCCAAGATCCGGGTTGCGAGAAGGGCCTCCAGTCCCCCTACTCTGGATGGAGCAGCCCCTCCTCTGCCCTGGTGACTGACCCACAGGATGGGCTTTCTGGGCCACGTGTAGCGCAGGGTGGACTTGGATGCACAGGTGGACTTGCCAGGGAAGAAAACGCCCATGCCCAGCCCAAGCCCTGTCCCCAGGCAAGGCAGCAGGGAGCAACATCGAGGTCAACTGGAGAGAAAGGTGATGGCGCAGAAGCAGAAGGTGGCCCACCCGCTTCACCAGGCTGTCTGAGGGCTGGCCTGGTCCACCACGGAGAGAGAACTATCCGGGCAGGCTGGCCATGGGGGCCCCTCTCCCTCCCCGCTTTGCAGTCGCTCTCGCATCCGGAAGAACCTTAGGGCTGCACGATGTCCAGCGTGCACAGCTGCCCCGAACCAGCAGGTGAAAGCAGGATCAGGAGGCTCTGGCACGCTTGGGGAAGCCTGCCTCAGCCAGGACCGATCTCTCTGGGCGCCCCTCAAGAGCCCAGCGCATAGGAGGACTGTGTCAGACCACAAAGGCTGCGGGTGTCCCCCATCATTTCCCCACACAGCCACATCCCCCAAGCAGTTCCAAGGCAGGCTCCAGCTTGGTCTCCCAAAAGACCCAGAGCAGGCAGCCTCGGCCTTTCCCTAGAACCCGAGGGCACTGGAACGCAGTGGGCTTTGTCCCCCAACGCCTTCCCCCTTTTCCGGTCCATCCCAAGGTTTCCCCCAGGAGGAACACCCTCCACATTGATAACAGGTGTTTTGAATGGAACCAAGAAAGGAGAATTTTCTAGACTCAACATCCCCCAAGGTGCATCGTCCCCATCCCACCCCCACTCGGGGCCTGACAGGATGATGGCCCACGAGGCAGGAAGGAGGCGGGCTCGTGGCCATGACATTCGCCCCACCCGTGACTGCTCCCGTGGTCAGGGAAAGTGACACCAGCTGCCGCCCCTGCCAGGCCTCCACACAAAAAAGTTCAGAAACAGCAGTTCTCTGAACTCCCTGGAAAACTTCCATGCAAGATCTTCATGGAAAAGAAGACAGACAGCAGTCCCAAAAATCCAGTAAATGTGAGGGCAAGTCCAAAAGTATTGCTTCCAGGGGGTCCAGCCCACGTGTCCATCAATTGACTCCAAGAACCATGTGTCTGTGGGCAGCTTGTCTTCGGCTCGCTATGGTGGCTTCTTGATGGAAAAAAAGGCTACTCAAAACAGAGGCGCCCCTGGGCACCTGCTGGGCCAGTTAATTCCTGAGCAGAGGCCAGGCTCTGAATGCGGGAACTGTTCTTTGGGACTCCCAAGGAGTCCCCTGGATATATCGGTGTTCTTCAAAGATACAGGGGGCGGGGGAGGCGGGTGGCTTTTTAGGAAGTGTTGAGAAAACTGAACACTGTCCTCCTGGTGGTAAGCCCAGGAAGACTGTACCAAGGACCTAGCTCCCATCATGGCAACATAGCCTGCTCGTTCTTTTCGGGTAGTAAAAATTCCCGTGGGAATATCCTCAGGAACCCTTACACAGTCCCGATCTTGCCCCTCTAAGACTTATTTTTGTTCCCCAAACTCAAAGGCTATTTAGGAGGAGTGCCTGTCCTGTGTGTCCCCCGAGGACGCTCCTGTGTGCCGAGCCAGAGAGTGGGAGCCTCTGGGAGAAGGGTCCCAGACGGAAACCCTGCCTTCCCAAGTGCACGGGCACGGAGGTGGGGTCTGCCTAGAAACAAGAGCTTCCCAAGTCGGTGCTTTTGCATAATAAAGGTTTCTGTGATTTTGTAGCAATGCTTTTTGATGGACAGTGCTCTAGAAGGCTCACCTCCACCCCACCACACCCCCATCCCCGTCCCAATGAGTTTATGACAGACATTTTATTTGGGGGTTCAAGCCACCTCTGTCTGGCCCCAGAGCCAAACCTTGGAAGGAGCCTGCCTGGCCTCCAGCCAGCAGCAGCAGGGCCCCTGCACACACTGCTGCAGGAAAGGCAGCCGGAGCCCAAAGGGCTGGCACAGCCCCTGGGTTCTCCCTCCTCTCTGACTACAAACAGCTATTATCTTGTGCCGCGTCATTCTGGTGCTAAGGTCCCGAGAGCCGAATGTAGCACCGGGGCACCGGGGCACCGGGGCAGCAGAGAGTGAGCCCACCCAGGAGCAAGGCATGCAGGCCAGCAGAAGGTCTGCGTGTCTGCGCTGCTACCTGACCAGCTGGGCCCACCTCTGGGCCCCAGGCTCAGCCCTGCTCATTCCGATCCAGTCAGGGCACAAACGAAGGGGGTGCAGATGAGAGGGGAGTCAGAGAGCGTGGTGTTGGGCACTGGTCATTCCTGCAGTCAGATGAGCTACATATGTTAGTGTTTCACCTGGTTCTTCTGAGGGAGAGGCAGGGTGGCTGGCACTGCCTGAGAAGAAAGCTAAAGAAATTAGATATGGCACTTCTCAATAAATAGTTTAAAGCTTCTTAAAGAAATGAGCGGAAATGAAAAGCAACTGCTGTAAGGCCTATTTTGCCATTTAACATTTTTCCACGGGGAGGAAAAATTCCACAAAATCAAACAGCTGAAACAGAGAGGAGAGAGAGCAGGATTAAGACAGCACAGCTTTACCGAAATAATAACAAACAGAAAACCTGGCCCTGTGACGAGCTTGGCCAGCCCCCATTTCATCCACGAGGCAACAGTGAGCTCTGAATGGGAGCCAAGAGCACCCCCACCCCCCAGGGCCTTTCCCACACCCCGAGTAGCAGGCCCCAGCCACGCAAGCAGGGGGGCTGAGGGGGGCAGACGACCACGGTATGTGTGGCGTCGTTCCCCTCCACGCTCCTCGCGAGGGGGACAGGAGAGAAGCCCATGCCACCCCCGAACATGCTGCTCCTTTACAGCCTGCCCCCCGGGTCACAGTGCGGATTCTAGACACGACACCTCTCTATGGCAGGCGGCGGCGCGAGTCTGCTTTAGAGATGACAGCTCAGATCAAAGGACTCCACCAGGCTGAAGGGCCACAATCACCAAGTGAACTCGGGGCTGCTTGTCACTCTGCACATCGGCCCATCGAGTGGTGGGGACACCTGACCCTCCAAATAGCCCAAGAGGCGGCATCTCTCTTAGCTGGCACCCAGGTAGACTTCTCCCCTCACCCCCACTCACCCCCCCTCAAGATACAAGGATGCAGTGTTTCAAAATAAAAGTCTACTTCACAAACAAGAGCCCCAATGCCCTGACGCAGCCCCCCGAGGACGAATATTTACAAGAGGGCGTCTTCAAACAAAAACGGTGGCACTCTCTACAAGACTCTTACAAGGGGGTCTTTTTTTTCTTCTTTTTCTTTTCTATTTCTTTTAAACTCTCGTCATAAAAGCCAACTTACATTAAAATATACTTACTACCATACAACACAACTAACAAAATATATAATAAAACTTACACAAGTAGAAAATTCTGAGGTATTTCTGGTTTGAGGTGGTCTGTGGTCGTGAAGTTTCAATTCTTTGACTTTTCAAAATTTAAACCTCGGAAGCCACATTAACAGAGCATTTGTGTGTACAAAGGGTGTGTGTGCGCGTGCGCACGTGTGTGTTGTTTAATGTGCATGTTTCATAAATTAAGAGAAATTCAAATGTTGAAACAGCAGCATTAGGAACATTCACTGACTAGAGCAAGGTTATGTATGGCGTAAGAGAAACCGGTTTTGTAGAATATGCACCACTTGAAGGGGTCTGGAGAGAGCTGTGCCCATGAGCCAGGGAGAGGGGACCGAGGTGTCACCAGGGGGACAGAGTCAGCGGGACGCACAGGGTCTCCCGGGGCAGGCCTGGGTGCCCCCGGCTGTGCAGGGCACACCCCCGTGGACACTTCCCTGAACTGCTCCAGGAGGACGCATAGAATTTCAGCCTTGCCTGCGCCGAGGAACCACGGCGTCCAGCCTGGTGGAGGAGGTGCTCACCAGACTGTGGTGGTTTCTATCCTTTACCTAACCTTGACCTCCGGGCAGCAGCACATTTCCGGTCCAGCTCACACACCCCAGGTGGAGAGGAACAAACCCCCGGCTGGGGCGAGAGGCGCAGGGCGACCGACCACGCGGCACTGCACCGCGCCTGCTGGCTTCCTCCTTCTCCAAGCCCCCGTCTGGCCGTGAACGCTCACCCTCCAATCCGGGTTACCTGAGAAGTGGCCTCCAGAGCCCAGGATGTTGCTCCCAAAGTGTCCGAGTCCAGTGTAGCTCTGTTCCAAAGCCCAGCCCGACCCCCTCCAGCTCCAGTCCAAACCCGCCTCCACCGCCTCCTCCCCCGGATTCCTCCGGGGTCAGGACGACACGCATTCGATCCACCAAATACACGTCTGCTGTCCGAAGGGCAGAAACAAAAGAGAGTACACTGGTGCCTGGAGAGAGCCTCCCGTCGGAGGTGCTGGGCAGGTGGTCCAGAGCCCCGGTGCTGGGGGAGGCGGGGAGGGGGACAAGGACAGAGGAAGCACCGCTTCTGAGGAGTCCTTGTGTGACAGCTTCCCGAGGCTCCTCTGGGTCGAGTTTGCAGCATTTACGTTTCCTAAGACAGGAGACGGCTTTTCTTGGTGTCACGGGTTCCGAGGTGACAAAGAGGGAGAAGTAGAGGCAGGCTCTGCGGCAGTCCGCTGGTTCCACTCCCAGCTCAGCACCTCAGCGTGCACTACAGTAGAGCAGTGTGCTGGTAAAAACTGATCCGATCCCCCAAATAACATTAATAATAATAATTATAATAATTATAATAATAAAAAGTCAAGGTAAAATAGCAGCTGCATTTTGGGTGTTTGTTGGTTTTATGGGATTTCCAAAACAAAACACAACCTTTTCTCTTTCTTTCTTTGTCTTTTTCCTTTCCCTCCTTTCTCTTTCAGCTCCTGGAGTCTGGTGAGAGGCTGGTGTCTTGGGGCTCAGATGCTGGACTCCTTAGGGGGCAAGTCCACGTTGGTGACGGAGGTCACGAGGGACACAAGACAGTCTGACATGGTGCTGTGGACCGACCTCTGGATCAGGGACACCCGCTCCTCTACGCAGCCAGCGGACAGGCGGGCCTCGGCATCGTGGTCCCAGCACTCCTCAATGGTCACGCAGAGCTGGGACAGGCCCTGCAGTCGGGAAAGCCACCTTCAGTTAGGACAAGCCCGGGAGAGACACCCGACAGACGGCTCCGCCGCAGCATGAGGTCGACCCACTGGGACTGGGAGTTCTACGGGAGGACCCAGTGCCTTCCTGCCTGCTGCAGCCCCTCCCTCACAGCCCCAACAAAGGTGCACACACACAAAGGAAAACAGACCCAGGCCCCTCTGGGGGCAGCATGGCTGCTCTGCTTTGAAGCAGCCGTTTCCACATGGCCCAGGGCACCGTGGACTCAGGCACCTCCTATCTGACTCTCCCGAGAGCCCAGGTGCTCAGAGTCTCCCTGGAAGCAGCTCTCAGAGCTGTGGAGGCCGTTACCTGACTGGCTGGAGTCTTGCATCAAGGAAGGCTCCAGCATGCTCTGGGCCATGGGCTCTTCAACCAGGGCTCTGGACTACCTTCCTGGCCAGCACCCCCGATGGGAGGCTCTGTCCATTTTCAGCCCTGGGCTTTAAGGAACAGCAGCTGCTGAACTTGGACTTCCTAGTTCAAAACTCCCTATGGCCCCACAGCGGCCCTAAGCTGTCTTTTTTTCTTCCTAAATTGACCCTGGGCTGGGCAGGGGAAGGAACTCTATGGTGCTAGAGACTAATTCCGTTCCCACAAGGCAGGGAGTGGGGTCTCTGGCACAGCCTCCCAGACGGCAGAGTCCAGGGCCACGTTGGCTTGCCCAGGAGGAGACGAGGGAGCACTCAGTCGGTTAGACCACAGGAAACATTTCAGGGACAGACATTTTGCCAAGAGTTTTACAATGGTGATGGAGTGTACCTAGGACGATGACGATGGCACTACTTTGTCTAAACAGAGGGCTCAGAGAAATACAGCAACTGTCAACCAGCTTCTCGCTCACATCCAGGGTTCAAACCCAGGCGTGTCAGGAGACACGGGTGAGCCACAACCAGGGACAACCTGGGCCGGACAGAGCTGACAGACCCATCACCCTCCGGGCCAAACCGAGAGCCATCCCCTGCAAGCGGGAACACACCCCCACACCCCCACCCCACACGCGCGGTGTCCTTGATGGAGGGAGGAGAAGGGGCCTCCTGCCACCTGGCTCATCCTCATTCCTGCCACGTGTGGAGGGGCTCCACTCTGTGGCCCAAGCAGGCACCGGCCACCCAGCCCCAGGCCCTCACCGGGTGCTTCAGCCAGTGGTCTTTAATGGTGGGACGCATCTTCTTGTGCACGACCACCTCCTGTAGCTCCTCCAGTGATGGGTGCTGGCCAATCTCTTCCTCAAACGGCAGCATGTACTCATCCACAGGCCCTAGGTACAGGACACGGCCCTCAGAGTCACCTGGGGGATCCTCCCCACCAGCCTCCACCCCCAGGACGCCCAAAGCCCAGCGTGCTCACCATCAGCGGCCTTGCAGCGGGACACCAGCTCCCACAGCACCAACCCCATGGCATACATGTCAATGCGTAGGAAGGCATCTCTCTGGAAGTTGATGGCGCCCTCCAGCACCTCGGGGGCCATGTACCTCCGGGTGCCTACCTGCACGGACACGAAGACAGTACCAGTGGACACCACAGTCACCAACAAGTGCGCAGCCCTGGCCTGGCGCCACGCAGGGCCATCCTTGAAGAGCCGTGTTCAGGGGAGGGCTAGAAGAGATCCTGGTGGTGCAACCGTTAAGCAGGGGGCAAGGGAACAGCCATGAATGGCCCTAGGGCAGAGCTATCTGTAACCAGGAACTGCCGTGACATGGGATCAACTGACCAGCACGGACAACAAGAGTGTGACCCAATGGCCATTCTAAAAGACCATGCCCTGGATAGCCGATGCCTGGGAGAAGGAGGAGGTCTCTCTACTCCTGGGAAGAGTGTCTCAGAGGCCTGAAGGGGCAGCTCCACCCTGCCCCACAGGGTCGCTGAGAGTCGGCATCGACTCAGGGCCGGCAAGTGAGTTACCACTGACCAAGAGGACCAAGAGAAGCAGGTCAGATTTTTCCTGGCATGAGAACCAAAAAAAAAAGGGGGGTTGGGGGGGACTACTTAAAAATACCAACGGCACCTGCGTGAGAATGCTTTGTTCAGGGTTACTTTTCAGCAATTTTTTCTAGGTCGCTGATTTGGATTTTTTTATACGCTCCTCTCTATTTTAACTTGCTTAAAATAGAAAATGGAAAGACAGGGGGAAGAACGACCGAGCCTACCCTCTCTGGTGGCCATGCCCCCGGTGCAAAATCGGTGTTCCTCAGCTGACCGGCTCGCAGTGGCTGCAGGACCCTTCAGATCCTGCTTTCCCCACGTAAAAAAGAGGGCAGCGACCGGGCTCCTGTGCATCCCCCAGCCGACCACAGGAGGGCAGTGTGTGCACTCCTCAACCCCCAACCCCGCCCCCGCCGAAGCTCCCTACCTGCCCGTGGGTGTCCCCCGGAGGTTTTCCTGGCTCAAATCGAACGGCCAAGCCAAAGTCAGCCAGCACGGCCGTGAGGTCGTTTTTCAGCAATACATTCTTACTTTTGAAGTCCCTGTGGAGATAGGTAGGCAGAGACAAAAGCGTCATGGGCCGTCCTGCCCTCTCAAACACTGGCGTCTGTGCCCCACCGTCGCACCAGGCCATCCCACCCTCACCATGGAGCAAGGTCTGGAGAGGGGAGAGACAGGCAGCGCCAGGGAAGCGGTGCCAGCCCTGGCGCTGCCAGAAGTCTCAGCTGCACTTCTGAAGGCAGGTTCCTGCCGGGCGTGGCAAGACACCGACCATTCCAGGGGCTGGGCAGACCCTTCCCAGTGGCGACACAGCTGGGGACAGCCTTTGCATTCCCAGAAGCCCTGGGGCAGCGAGTATTGGGAATTTTAAATCAGCCTGCCATTTCTGTGCATGCAGCTCCACCTCTTGCTGACAGCTAGGCCCAGGCCTCAGTTTCCCCAGTGCCTCCCTTGGCCTGACTGTGCAGATTCGTTGGCCTTTGACGATTTCTGACCGATAAAAATGGCCCTTACAATCACCCTGCATTACAGCCTGGAATTCCGGAGGGAAAGGGTTTGAAGCCGCTTCCCCTCCCTCATAGTCACAGGACCGGACCACCCTGCCCAGGCCCTCGGCAGGGCTCCTCAACGTGCCCACCTCTGCATGCTCCCGGGATGGCAGAGAGCTACTGGGGCTGGCATGTGTGCAGACCTGGGCCAATTGGTCAGTCAACACGGTGGTGGCAGGTTACTGCAGCGGCTCTCAGAGTAGGATCTGAGGCTCGAGGGCGGGCGAGCCCTTCCTAAGACTGTTCCCGAGGTCTGCAGGGGCAGATGTAGTTTATCTTCATACGACATTGTCTTTCTTATGCCAGCTGCAGCATACCACACAATGTGTGATGGCACCGGTCTGACAGTTACTGGGCAAAATCAAAATATGCGTGGTTTCGGCCAACGTGTTAGGCTGTTAACCACAAGCTGCGTGGCTCAAAGCCACCGTGAGGACTGCTCTGTGAGGACAAAATGGTGAGTTCTGCTTTACCCAAGGGGCAGCTCTCCCCTGTCCTATGTAGGGTGGCTGTGAGTCAGGATCAATTAAGTCCATGGCAGTGAGTTTGCTTTGGTTTCTGGAAACCAAATGTGAGAACAGCTGAGCCAACCGAGAGACAGACTGGGCACAGCCTCATGTGGCCACTAGCGGGCACACACACACACACGCGCGCGCACACACACGGAGGTGGGGGTGGGGGCAGGAGGGGCAACTGTAGGGAGGACAGCAGGCCGCCCAGGTACCTGTGGGCAATCGACGGCTTGTGGCCCTCTCCGCGGCACCAGGGCACGTCCTCGTGCAGGTACGAGAGGCCTCGCGACATCGTTTCTGCCACGTGGCACAGCTCGTTCCACGTGATGATGTTCCCCTTGAGGTAATCCGTGAGGGAGCCCTGGGGAGGCAGCACAGAGCTTGGACAGACTTCAGGGACAGGACAGGGCTGGCCCCGCAACCCAGCCATGGGAGGACGTGCCCAGAGGATGACCAGCATGCGGACACTCTGGGAGACTAGCTGACGTGCAATGCCGAGGGGACGGAGGCCATGGGCAGGGGCGTCAGAAGGCATCTCACCAGGAAGGCCACCGGCGGCCACAGCAATGGCAGGGCCCCAGCCCGGGCTCACCTTGTCATGGAAGGCCGTGATGAGCCAGAGCTCCATCTCCAGGTTGGAGCCACGCTTCTCGGCTGCGATGAACTGCAGCAGGTTCTCGTGCCTCATGCCCGGGGTGCTGAAGATCTCCCGCTCGCTCTGCCAAGACTGCTTGTCCTGCGGGCGGGGGGCAGCAGCTCAGTCTCACTGCAGCAGGACAGCTGCTCCCGCCCCACGACCCTGGCCCGGGCCTCCCCGGCTCAGGACGGGGGACGGGACAGGCAGAAGATAGCTGGGCCGAGCTGGGAGGACCAAGCTTAAAGTCATCCTGAGATCACAGAGGGCCAGCCTTCCTTACCAAGCGGCTGCGGGGGCCCAGAGAGGGGAGTGGGTGAATGAAAGCTGAAGTGAGCCTAGAAGAGTGTTCTGGACAACTGCTTGGGAAGCCCTGGTGCCCAAGGCCTCGGAAACTGAAGAACACACGAACACACACACACACACACAACCCCTGAGTGGGTCAAGGCTTTAAAACAAGTTTTGCACAACCCTGCTCATGCAACTCCAGAGACTTTCACTGCAGTTCTGCCAGGTGTAGGGTGAGTGATCGCCGCCCCCATGGGGGGTGGGGCAGCCCACTCTGCCCGTGCCCAACCTGTACCCGGCCCCAGAGCTCAGGTCACAATGGGGGTGGACGACCGGGAGCCCCTCGAGCACCCACCTGGAGGGGGAAGACCTTGACGGCCACAAACTCATTCACGAGCTGCGCCTTCCAGACGCAGCCGAAGCGTCCACGAGCCTTGATCTCCAGCAGCTGCAGGGGCTTCAGGCTCACCAGCGGGGAGGGGGGTGGAGGCCCGGGGTCCTGGGGGAGAGAGAGCACTTCAGGGGGCCTGCTCCAGCCCGCCGGCTCCTCCGTGCCCCACCCCTGCCCAGGCGGGCCTGCCCTAACCCTACCTCATGGATGTCCACGTGGCCGTAGGGGGGCTTGCGATGCCTGTACATCCATAAGGCGAGCAGGACCAACAGGGAGAGGCCCCCGATGGGCAGCAGCGAGTAGGCCAGCACCGTGAGCAGGGTGGGGGCTGTCGGGGGTGGCTCGTACGTGACTGGGGGACACAGGGAGCCCTGGGTCACATAGCCCGCCCGCCCCACCCCTCCAGGGCTGGACCATGGAGGTCCTGTACACCGCTCCCCACCCAACTTATGGGCCAGGGCCAGGGCAAGCCCCGGAGCAGGCCCCTGCCCCTTCTCCCAGCGGCCCCTCACCTTCTGGGCCCCCGGGCTCTGGCAAGTGGGTGAAGCGCTCATTGCAGAAATTGCCCTCACAGCAGCAGAAGTACACCTGGGGGTTCTCCTCCGTGGCCACACACTCCTGCCTGAAGACAGAGTATGTCGCAGCTGCCCTCAGTAAGGAGGGGCCGGGCAGAGCCCTCTGCTCCAGCCCTTCCCATTCGCACAGGCTCTTGGGAGACGCGGGGGAACCGTGGGACCAACCCCAAGTCCTCTATATGCGAGCCAAGGCAGGGAGAGATGGGCCCACACCACCACCCCTGCCCATCGGCAGGGCCGGGATGGGGCACGCGTGGTCCCCAGGATCTGCGCGCGGACTCCGACGCGAGGAACCGACAGGCGTGCCGGGGGCCCGGCGGCGGCGCACCGGTCATAGCAGTTGAAGTCGTCCAGCCAGCAGCCCTTCTTGACCAGCTCGATGGAGCCCGAGCTGTTGCGCCACGAGGCGTAGCAGTGCAGCCGCTTGTCCTGCTCGCCCTCGCAGCGCTCCACGCCGCTCTGGTTGGTGCGCTCCAGCTCCCAGTTGGCGTTGTAGTAGGTGCACTCCCGGGTCTCGGCCACACCGCGCCCAGAGCCTGTGTCCCGCGGAGGAGGGGAGAGAGTACCTGAGCCAGGCGGGAACCTAGATGCCTGCAGGTGCTGTCCCTGGCAGCAGCCCCCGAGGCCAGCCATTGGGGGGAGGGCGAGTCCCTACAAGAGTGACTGCCCAGATCTCCATGCTGGACTGCAGGGGGTGACCAGCACAGCTCACTGTCAGGGCCAGGAGCCTTGGCGTCAGCCAGCCTCAGGGCTGCCTTGCTGCTCCCCACTGGAGAGCCCCCCTCCTGACCAGGCCAGCGGCCCCGCCCCGCCCTCACAGGCCCTGGCTTCCACATCACACGCCTTACCACCCTGCTCAACTAATTGCCTGATGTTACACATTCACACTGCGTGGGCACAGGGGACCCAGACTAATCTCCAAGAGGAAGTGGCAGTATTAGCGTGGTGAATGCTCTCGCGGGCATGAACAAATACGCCTGACGAGCTGCTTCTCGACAAAGCAGGCTTCCCTCTCAGGGCTGGAAACTCAGGTCCTGATGATCCGATTACTGCTGCCTTCAGCACTAGAATGGGCTCAGGGAACCAGGTGGCTGCCAGGGAGGCAAAGATGGGCTGCTAAGCATAGCTATATATCCTAGCAGTGGGGTAGTGTTCGTGTCGGGCAGCAACCCTCCAGGTAGGCAGTTCAAAGTCGCCTGCAGTTCTACAAAGACAGTCTGGGAAACTCACAGGGCCAACTTCTGCTGGGTCCCATAAAGTCACTGGGTCAGTATTGACTGGGGGGCAGCAGCGGGTGGGTTTGTTTTACTGCCTGGCTTCAGCAGGATTTCAAAGGGAAAGGGGGGACCAAGCCAAGCCCCAGGTTCCTCCTCACCTCCATTCACTGAACTGCACTGGCCCAGTTCCTTTTTAAACCACCCCTTTTGGCCACTGCCAGGGCCAGAATCCAGGTGGAGGGGGCCATCCAACCGCCACCTGACCAGACCATGCCACAGGTAACACGGCAGGGGGCAACCTGGGACGGGCCAGTGTGGGCCGGGACTGCTACCACAGGGCCCTCCCTAGCTTCTAAAAAACGGTCTAACAGCACTACCGACCTCCGAGGTCTACCGCCAGAACCGCAGGCTTCCTGCACTCTGTGAGAAGCTGGAACAGTGTCTGGCAAGTTAAAACCTCAACTGACTGCCATGACTCACAGGGGCCTACAGGGCAGAGCAGAACTGCCCCGTGGGTGATTCCCAGATGGAAGCTCTTTAGAGCAATAAAAAGCCTCGCTAGTCTCTCTCCCAAGGGGCAGCTAGTGGTTTTGAACTGCTGACTTTTAACGTTATCAGCCCAACTAGGAACCACTACTCCCACCAGGGCTCCTATGTGGCACAGGAGCACACTGTCTGAGAAGTAGCCTGCCCCACCTACCCTCCTGCTGCCCAGGACCTGACAATGCCGCACGGTGCTCCGCTACCCCCGCCCCAACCCACCCCCCCAACAAACACACACATGTAAGCCTCCAAGAGCTTCCAACTGGGAGTCTGCTTGGGGCCTGGGGAGGTGGTGGCAATCCTCGCCCCTCCCACACCACTCCCAGCTCTGCAGCCAGCTGGAGACCCAGGGGCCTCCCCCTGTCCCCCTGGCGAGGCGCAGCTGCTCAGCTTCTTCACACACTTGACTATTTATAGCCCCTGGTAGCACTCCAAACACAGGGCCACCTCCGCCTTTTAATAGCACAGGGCTCCCGCCCACGCGGACCCAGTTCCCCTGACCGCAGCCACTGAGCTGGCGCCAGTAGGCGCAGGCTGTGCTCAGAAATGGGGTGCCTGTGACACTCGGTCTCACATGAGGCGCAGCCCGGGCCCAGAATACCTGGGCAGCGGCTCATCGCACCTCCTGGAACCACTGCGGCAAGGCAGACAACATGCAACTACTGTGCTCCAGGGAAAGGTGCCAAAACCAGGGGAGGCAGCCCCTATGCCTCCCCAATCCTCAGTGCCAGCCGGGCTTTACAGGGAGCTGGCCCGTGGGGTGCAGATTCTGCCCTGACCCAGCAGCCCTGGCCACGGGACAGCCCAGCAGCCATGCCGATGCTGGAGGGGCACCCAGCAGGTCCGTTCTCCCTGAGCACAGCTGGTGGTCGGGTCCCTCTGAGCTCTGGGGAGGAAGAGGGTCTGTCCACCTGGGTCCTGCAGAGCCTCACAGTGCAATGGGGACAGAAGAGCAGGAGGGGTGGGGGTAGCCACAGGTGACAGGCAAGGTCCAGAGCTGTAGTTAGCGGTCATGCTCCCCTGAGACTCTCCATGCTCTGGACATGGGACACCCCTCCCCCCAGCCCTGCAGTGGACTCCCAGAGGACTGTGGACCCCCTGCTGCCAGGGTTATGATACTGGCCGTGGGTCCCCAGTGGGTCCTGAGACAGAAACAGTGGGCAGAGGTCCTGCCCCACCCATGTGGGCTGCCCCAAGGAGGTAAAGGGAGGCTGCTCAGCGCCACACCGTTCCTGCCAGGGCAGTCTCAGAGATCTCTAAGTCCAGGGTGAGCCCAAGAGAGGGCAGCTCAGGAGGCTAGTGGCCCCCCTCCTGGCTCGCCTCACCTAGCCTTCCCTGGGAGACCTCCCCTCCGCCTCCCCTCAAGAGGGTGGTCACTAGGATCCTGGGAGGTTCCTGCCTTGGGCATCCTGGCCAGAGGACTGGGGCTTCCAGAAGCCAGGCTGTGGCGCCCTCTCCCCCGCCAGCACACAGCAGCCCCTCTGCCATCTTCTCCGGGCAGGCAGGGAGGGAGGACCGCAGGGTAGGGGGGCTGGCTGAGGGACCCTGAAAATGCTCACCGCAGCAAAGGGGTGAGGCACGTGCACGCATACACATACACACACGTCACACAGCGTGGAGGGGCACATAAAACAGGGCAGAGAAGAATTCATGTGGCCTACATGCTGTCCCCGAACTTCTTTTACACAATAGCATGTGTCTGTTTCTAGCAGGCAAGCACAACCTTTATTCCACGCACTGTCCCCCACTCCAGAGCCCGATTTAACAAACATACAGCATGCACTGTATCCCAGGGAGACTGTATGCGTTGTACAAATAACTTAATTTTCAAAAACTTTATTGCAACTTAGGTCAAAGTTTACAGCGCACATTGTTAGTTTTACAACATACACATGTTGACACAAGTCAATTCTGACTCATAGTGACCGCACAGGACCACAGGGCTGAGTAGCCCTGTCCCTGTGGGTTTCTGAAACAGAAACGTTGTGGGACTAGAAAGCCTCGCCGTTCTGCCAAAGAGCACCTAGTGGTTTCAATATGCTGAGCTGGCAGGTCGCAGCGGCTCAGGCAGTAACCACTGTGTCCCAGGGACTCTTCCTTTTGGCCTCAAGTGGCTGATAATTCTCACGTGGGCTTGAGTTCAGTTCCAGACCAGAAGGGTGACCGAGAATGTTTTTGGGGTTTTTTCTTTAAATCATTTTACTGGGGGTTCTTACAGCTCTTAAAACAATACACACATACATGCATTGTGTCAAGCACATGTGTACAGATGTTGCCATCATCATTTTCAAAACATTTTCTATTTGGGCCCTTGGTATCAGCTCATGTTTTTCCCTCCCTCCCTCATGAACCCTTGAAAATTTATCAATTTTTTTCATATCTTACACAGACCACTGTTGCCCTTCACCCATTTTCTGCTGTTCATCTCCCCTGGGGGTTGGGGGGTTGCTTAATACATCAATCATTGTAATCAGTTCCCCCTGGACAAGAATGTATTTAATCCTCCTGACAACACTGTGAGGATCCTCGTTTTACAGTAGAGGAAACGGAGGCACAGAGAAGGTAAGAAACTGACCTAAGGTATTTATGAAGTGTCAGAGCCAAGTTCCAAACCCTGGCAGCTGGCTCCGGCGCTGTTGCAGTCCCCTGCTTGTCCTCACGGTAACTGCACTACCCGCTCTCCTGCTGGACTGTAGGTTCATGTCTGCTGACCTAAGCAGCCTCCCGCATTGTCTCCTGCACTTGTGTGTGGGCTCTTATTTGGCGGGTCAATGCAGCTCCACAGAGCCTATCAAACTGTGCTGCTTCAAAGAGGATGATCCCATTTATGAGCCGTGCAAGCTACCACACAGAGTTCACGAAGCCGCCCCTGGCCTGCCCTCACTTTCCCTCATCTGAAACCCCACTGTGGTTGTAATCCGGTTTCCCTGATCGATCCCAAGACGAGTCACCATTCCGTGCTGGTTGGTCTCTCCTTCCGAAAACTGTTCACATCATTTCCCATTGCTTGAGTTCTCCATTGTTGTCTGAGTCGCAGAAATTCTTCACAGCGTCTCGATAGTAAAACTTTTCTTCACAGCGAATAAGCCCCCAGTGAGTTTCCTCTGAACATCACTGAGGGACGGGAACACAGTGACTGCCAGACAGAGAGCACTGGAGACGACCACACTCGATTAAAACGATCACTCTGACTCGAATGGCTAAAACCTGGTCACTTGAATTCCCCTCCAATATACTTGGGTCTTGATCGGGTTTCTGAATATTATCTGGCTTGGTTTTGTCTTTTCTTTCATATTGGGGTTTATCTCTGTTGTACTGTGTCACTGTGGTTAACCTTCTTGAGCCTTTGCTGTGTGCTTTTCAGTATAGAAACCCAGAATCGATGAACCTATAGCGACAACGACTAGAGTAAGAGTTCCTGGGGGGTCTGCTGAAGGAGGTTGGGGGGCGGGGTAAGGGAGAGCTGCAGTCTAGGAGTTCAAGGAGGAAGAAAATGTTTCGAAACAGACTTTGGTAGCAATTGTACACTACTGCTTGCTGTGACTGAACTATGGAGTGGTATGAAATATGAATTAGCTCCTAATAAAATGGTGGGGGAAAAATAAAATACAGCTTTTCTTACTATACGTCACTCATTTGTAATGCTTTTTTGCCAAAAAGTCTATTTTACCTGGTGCTAACATATCCCTAAGAGGCCTTGCTGGAGCAGTGAGCTAGGCACTGGGCTGCCAAGGGCAAGGTCAGCCGTTCGAAACCACCAGCTGCTCCAAGTGAGA